ATGCTATACTCTACCGTGTTAAGTTGCTGAGGGAGGCCTCAAACTCACTATGTAATCCAGGAAGCACTTGAATTCAGTATCCTCCAGCTTTAGCAGGCTTGGCTCCTAGCTTCTAAGCAAAAAATAAAACAAACTCCCTTCAATCAGCTCTGTGGCAAAGGGGCAAAGCAAGTATATTACTGAAACAACAGCACTCAGGAAAAAGAGGCAAGAGAACTTTGTGCAGGATGCTAACCTAGGCTACAAAACAAGACTCCACTTTAATAATAGCAATAATAGTAATAGTAGTAGTGATGGTAAATACAGCAGAGCAGAACTAGCAGAGTCTCAGAAGAAGAGAGTGAGAAGAATTCTCAGCATGCATGGAAGGGATTATGCCATGTAGAGACATTCCAAAGCTTGGAATCATTTCATTTGGAATGGAAAGCTCCCAGAGGCACAATGTTCACAGTGTAATAAGCTGGTGATAGGTATAGGAAAGGCTAATCAGGTCTTGGTATTTGCTTTTCCCTCCAAACACAAGAACCAGACTGTTTAACACATTGTATAATAGCCGTGTCACCTTCCACCTTGGACTGCTATCAAAGTGAGATTTACCCTCCCTTCCTATTGCCTGTGGTGCCAAGCCACACCTCTATTCCCAATCAGTACACAAGACACCACACTCCACACGTACTGTTCAGAATCTGCAAATTTCTAGCAGGAAGGTGCCTGGAAGCTATGGATAAAACTGAAGCCTGGTGAGGTGAAAAGTTCGGTCCACACTTGTAGAACAAGCCAATTGTACATCTAGATTGAGACTTGGCCTTGTAGTCAGAGAAACTAGATTGAGTTCCGGGCCAGATTAATGACTTTTATGGGACTCAATATCCCAACATTTAATATGGTTGGAAGGTCAAATAATAAATCCAGAGATGTTAGTAAATGCATCCTAGTTCAGTCTAGCATTTTCCCCACTAACTCATCCTGCTCCTTGGAATAGTCTGCTCTCAGAAAAGAGCTAGAAGCTGGATTTCTGAAAAAAGAAAGAGTAAGCTTTAAGAGGTAGTGCCCTTCTGCTTTACTTCCCTTCATCAACAATCAAGTACAGCCTTCACAAGAAACAAATCCGAAAACAAGGGACACCAGACTCGAAGACCTTTCCCAGAGTGAAACTCTGTGGTCAGATATTGGCGAGGGCGATCCTTGGATGATTTGGTCGCCATCCAAGTCTGTTTTTAGTGGAGTATAAAGTTCATGTTTTGGAAGCAGGATCCTTAACTTTTTTTTATCCTGTTATTCAAATATTTCCTAATAATCTTCAGCATTTACACACTCAAGAGACCTTGAAGGTAAAGGATGCAGATCACCAGTTGTTTTTCCTTCCTGCTACTAATGAATACATGTTTTCTTTCTGAATTCACTGGCTCTATAATTATTTTTTTCCCACTCAAAGTACCCTATGAAATCAACTCAATTAGCAAAATAGTTGAACTGTAAGTTACCAAGCCTGGGATTGGAGTCAATGTTATGAATGCATTTTCAATATGGCAGACCTATGTAGAAAGAGATTGAAGTTTTTATCACATAAATACGTAGAGAATAAATTAGCTACAGTCAGTATGGTGTTTCTGGTGCCACCTATTGGTCAGTCTATAAGACCAAACTATATGGTAGTACCATTGGTCATTAAAATGAATGTAAATGTGACTTAAGGCATAACATTGAAGGTTATGTATTTCACCAAGCTGGTGGGATACAGAAATCGAGTGCTGTGTTTGGACATCATCTTTAGTCCTAGCCACTTTAAACCACAAGACTGTTTTGTTATGCAGTTTTTGCCTTTGCGTACTTACTAATTATGTCTGTCGAAAGGAATATATAGTGAGGCATAATCTCTGGGAACTCTAAGATTGGCGAATCAATACTCATACTTAAATGATTTTATGTCTTGTATCAGAATTGCTGTTGATACCTTGTTCAGATCATTCTACCAACCAGTTACCCTCAGATGCTGGGGAAATTTATAATAGGCAGGTATCCTTTTCTTTGGAGAATTGTCCTTGGCCAAGAAGAAGAGACTTTGAGTAGATGGGAGTCACTTTGACCAGGGGGCTTTATACACCACCACCAGCACCACCAGTACCACCAGCACCACCTAATCTCTATAGCTAGGAGCCAATGACTGAATGTTAAGGATGAAAAAGACCAGTTCACCTCATCCTAGGCTGGGAGTCACTCTGTAGTGTAATTTGTCCTTAACATACTCCATGTCTGAAGTGAGACATCAGCTGAGGCCACATTTTTGTTTAGTCCCTCTCTCTCTCTCTCTCTCTCTCTCTCTCTCTCTCTCTCTCTCTCTCTCTCTCTCTCTCTCTGTCTCTCTCGTTTCTCCTTAACAACATTCAAGGAATCCCTTGAACATAAATCCCCATCTCAGGTCTTCACATATAGCAGAAGTATCCTATGGAAAAGGTATTTCTGCACTGATGAAAGCCATGGCAGACAAGTAACTTTTGGGATTTTGTAGATACATTTTTCCCAACATGTTTGGGAGGCAAATGCTGAACAAAGCAATTCTTCTTCATATGCAGCAAAGCCTAGACTTAAGGACAGCAGTGGTGATCCCCTACCGTGGGACAATGCTGTGAAACTGTTCCTTGAAATGGCACTCTGCCTAAGTTTCTGAGAAATGTGTTTAGTATCAAAATAGTATATCCGTGCTGGCATTAGATCTAGTGCTCCCATGGGTAATGAAAAATAACCTGGAATTGGAGAACTTAAGGCTTTCACATTTCTGCATCTGTTGTAGAAGCTGGGCCTTTCGATTTGTGCCAAAGGAGAACTTTAGGAGAAAAAAAATTTAAAAAAATAATAGGTTAAATAGAAATAGAACTTCATGAAAACACAATCAATTTTTTCAAAAGTCAAAGATGAACAATTCTAAGTTACAAATCTCATCAATAAATTAGACTGGGAAAAACATACATATAGTAGCAGTGAAATAGGATCCTTAGTTCACACCACATTTTATAAAAACTAAATAAAAATTTGAATGTGTGAACTGGAACTATTAAATACAAGGGGAATATTTTGACACTGGTCTGGATATTTGGATATGATCCTTATAACACAGCCAATAACAATGCTCTTGTTTGCCCACCAGGGAATCCTGATGATACCATATACATGTGCTGCAAGATATTGAGAAATTAAATCAAGCTGGATCTGAGGTGAAAGCTTTCTCCCTACAGTCTAGCATTCATGGTGCTGAAAGAAGCTATGTAGACTTCTGGAAAGGAAAAATCATTAATACTTTTATCCAGCTATTTACCATGCTAACCACACTAGTGACTTTCTGGCAAGATATGCCCAGCAATACAATAGTGGCATGGCTACTATAGGAGTAATCAACTACCCTCTGATTTGATGCCCACTCTATGGGAGGGAGTTCATTCCTGTTACTCTATATCACCACTATCTCCAAAAGTTCAGGGAACATCATGCAAGAGGGAATAAAAAAAACATTAAGAGTCGGAGGTTATGGATGTCTTAATTAGCTTCATTTTGATTATCATTTCACAACATATATCATTTCATAAATCAAAAGATTGTGTTGTACGCCATAAATGTATACAGTTTCACTTGTCACATGAAGTGGGACAGGAAGAGCTAACAGCATTTTCTAAACCCAATGTCAAAAATTCATATTTTTATCTCTTAGCTATCACAAAATTATTAGAAAAATAAAGACATTTTATATTTGATTTTGTTATTGTTGGAGAAAGGAACTATGTAGGGCTTTGATTCTAAAGAGGAAGTAGAATTTCTTCATTTCCATGGTGGAAGATGCTGTGCCTGGGTCAGCATTATGGTACCACTGTGTTCTAAGTGCTAAGGTTTCAGCATAACGAAGCCCTGAACTGTGAATCAGATGCCCTGGGCTCTGGCCTTACCCTGTGTGCAGTTAGCAGTACCAGTGTGGACAGTTAACTGATACTCCCCTTTCTCTTCCAACCGTCTATCTGCAAAACTGGGTGATAAGAGAGTCTGTGGTAACTACAAGTCGAAAATCCTCTGAGCCCCCAACTTCTCTAACTCTGATGTGGTACGGAAGCTGTAATTCATTAGCCTGTCCCAACATGACACCTTCAATAGAGTCAAGAAGCAAGAAATTCAACATGGCACTTTTAAGAAAAACAATCTTTGATAAGGAGGAGAGCTGATGGCAGACAGAGTGATTAGCCACTGCAGGCAGGCAGGTGGGGCACTGGTTCTTAGTGAGTGAATGAAAAATAATGTGTAGCAGTATTAGTATACAAGGAAGGGCAATCTATGAACTAGCTCCCTGTTGTACTGTCTGCAGCCTCAAGTCAGCCTGCTGGGTCTTTGCTGCTTCTACAGAAGAAAGGAGGCAAAGGAAAGACAGACTGATGTGCCACATGAACCACAGACATGGTTCTAATGCTGTTCTTCCGTGAGTCATTTCTACATGATCTTGGCTTCTTTATCTGCTAATCTGGGCTCTGCAGCAGCAGATCTGGAAATGTCCTTGCAGGTCTCTGGCTATCAGATGCTATCAGCGCCTGTCTTTTCTTGACATCTGCCTGAAAAACATTTTCTTAAAAGGCATTCCTTCCCCCCTGCTTTTAGAATGTAAAGAATTGAAATCAGGAATTTTGATTCTCAAAATCAATTAGATAAACAGAAAAATCCTGGCAGGGCATTTATAATTCAGACATTATTTTGAAACACATTTTTATATATATTAAAATTAGAAACAAGCTTGCTTCCCATGTCAGTCCCAATTCCCTCTCCCTCCCCTCCCCTTCGCTCCCCCCAGCCCCCCACCCAATCACCACTCCATTCCCCAGGGAGGGTGAGGCACTCCATGGGGGGATCTCTAGAGTCTGTCATTTCGTTGTGGGGAGGGCCTAGGCTGACCTCTCAGCCATCAGTCTGGGGTCCAAGATCTCCCCCTTGTTCAGGTCAGCTGTTTCTCTGGGTTTCACCAACCCAGTCTTGACCCCTTTGCTCATCACTCCTCCCTCTCTGTCGCTGGGTTCCAGGTGTTCCATGTTTAGCTGTGGGTGTAATTCAGACTTTTTGTTGTTGTTCTGAAGCAGGATCTCCCCTAGTCCAGCTCTTCCTACCTCAGCCCCCTCAGTACTACAATTAGAGGCATGTACCACTGGAACCAACTTCATTCAAATTCTTGAAACTGAAAACCTAAGAGCTACTGAAGCAAAACCAGGTTTAAAAAAAAGGTATCTGGAAATCCCTAGGATGTTATAAGTGAGTGATCTTTAATTACCTTAACAATATACACTATGAAGCCTCAATAAGCAGTTGTTAAGTATTTACTTTTACTGTAATGACTTTATAAGGAAATAGCCAATCATTAAAAGTTCCATTCAGTTCTAGTATCCTATGATATATTCACTGAGTTCAGAGATGACCTGTAGGAGAAAACAAAGCAAAGACAGGCATGATAGGCATAATGGATAAAGTAATGCCAGTAGAGACAAATGGACCCAAGTAAGAATACTGTTCCTGCCATTTACTGTGGGACCTCAGGCAAGTTTCTTGAGAAGGAGGGGAGGAACAATTTTGAAGGAAGTAAAACAACAGTGCTAAGGAGTCAATAGACAAAGGGAAGGGTGAGACATGAGTGTTCAGGAAGATCTCTCAGAGGCAAAGACATCTGTTATGAGAAGGACTACAAGGAACTTTCTAGGCAGAGAAGATAGCCAGGAGCTAGCTTAGAATGTTTTGGGAGGAGAGAAAAGGACACAGCAGTTTAACGTGGTAAGAAAGCCGAATGTGGCTGAATAGGTAGCCTTCTTCCTGGTCTTCCTGGCCTGATAAATTTCACTCCAGTTGTAATAAGAAAAACCTGATAACTTTTGAGTCAAAAAGGAACACAGCCTGTGGAGTCTGTTGTAAAAGCTCCCTCTTGTATAGAGAAATTGGATTGCTGCTCAGTGATAAAAAGAGAGAGCTGGAGAAGGAACCTGGACAGCTCAGAGTGGTGGAGTTGGAGAGAAGTAAGTCAGATTTAATATCTACTCTGGGGGTAGTGTGGATTAGACAAGACAACCTATGAAAAACACTAACCAAGTGCCTGGATCAATGAAATGCTTGCTAAAGATAACAGGATCTGCTCTAACAGGCTGATTTCAGGCCTATACACACATCAAAGAAGAATGTGACACATACTTAGGTCAAAGATCATAGTTAGCAAACTGGTCCAATAGCTCATTTGTCATGCCACATGGACAAGTCATATTTGCTTACTGTAGCTTCCCTGAAAGTTGAGGAACAGTTTCCAAGTACTAACATTCAATGAATCTTTTTTTGTGGGGGGGATATACCAGTCAGGGGCAGTATGAGTAAGAATAAAGAGTTTATCATAAATATTCCGTGTGAGGTGTTGCCTCTATGCCTGGTGTTGTTTCTGAAGTCATCTAAGACCAGCTAGGGACTCAATCAGGAAGAAAGGCTGGAAGCTGGGTGTGATGTCTAAAATCCAGGGCAAAATGGAACTCACAGTGATACACAGTTTTACCACCTCCAACCCTGGTCAAGTAAGTGACTAGAAGTCATTTATCACCAGCCGAAGGGTCCTGCTGTTCTTCCATAATAACAGGTGAGACACAGTGTGTGTGTTAACAGTGTCCTGCATGCTTCTTCTTTACCTCCAATCATACTGAATCCTCTTGTGATCACCATTAATCTGGAATGGCATAGGGAAAGAAATTTTCAGAATGATAGTGTTGCGGGATGCTATTTTAAGATGTACTTATGCTATGGAACATTTTTTTAATGATGCAAAGATGGGTTGTATTCTTTTATGTTTCAATCTGTTTAACTCTGTGACCCTATGTTTCTTTGCCTGTCTAAAACACCTGACTTTGACTCTGCCATTTAATAGCTGTTACTTAGTCTCTTAGGACTTCCAATTGCTCAGCTCAGAGTGAGATTAGTGTTCTCATCTACCTGGCCCAGCAGACATGCTTTTGTTTGATAACTAGTTTGAGTGTAGATGTAGTGCTCAAGATACTTGCAAGTTGATAGGATATGGCTTGGTGTCTCGATGTGGTACTGAGCCTCAAATAGGTATGGGTATTAATCCCAGTGAATTTCCCCTCCCAAACCAATCCAAGTAATAATGAATCACTCCCTTGAATTTTCTATCAAGACAGCTCTTTGTGATTTCTAAATGTTCTGTCTAGATTCAAAGAAGCTAGTTTCTTCATGAGTGGTTGGAATAAGACTTTTCTTAGAAGCTACTGAATATGGATTAGTTTGGATTGTTTCTCAGGAAATAAAAAGCAGGCTCTGGGGTGACCACTTCAACATTTAATTGGGTTAGCAAAGAACTACAAATAAGAGGTTTTCCTTAGGAGGGAGAGCATGTTGACTGAACCCAACCCCTTAGGTGGTAGATTTTAACCTAATTACTGGCCTTCAAATGCAGCCTTTAACTCAGGCACCATTACATGAATATGGCAGAAATGTCACATTGAAAACTTAACACATCACAGCAGTTCACTGGATCCCAGCTTCTTGTTACATATGAATGCACAGCTCTCCAACTGCCCAGCCACCTGCAGAAGTCATATTTGCAGCAGTTCCAAAGGGCTTGCATCCTAAAAACTAGAAGCTGAACCAAGGAAACTGCCCAGCACTTGGGACAAAGTCACTAGTGACCTGTACTTTAGGGTAACCAAAGGTTCTTTCATGTGTCTCTGTCTTTTCCTCTGAGACACATTGTGCCTGTCACTGAGTGATATCCCTCTGACTGGATCCTTCAGAGAAGTAGTTTCTGTAACAAAGATAAGCACGCTGTATTTGGTACCAGGGGCAGTTATGGACCGTGTGAACATCTCAACAAGAGGGAGGCCAAGGGGCCATTCAGACTTAGCTTGAAATCCTGGCCTTTGTTTTCTCTCCACATTCAGACTGAAACATGATTCCCCTGGCTTTCTTTTTTTGGAAAATACCTGTGATGAGTTCCCTGGCTGGAAAGAAAAGCTGTTGACAGGAAAGGTTTCTGATGGGAAAGGCGCTTCTTCATGTGTTCTAGAGGGAGACAAGTTGCTTCAAACATGCTTTAGGAGAGATCCCAGGCCTAGGAGAAGACACCAGGATCCATCCTGGAAAGGGTCATTTTGAATGGTAGATGAGGCTGAGAATTAAACCGTTGCCTCTTTGAGAGTAGGAACACGGGCATAGAGTTTAGACTACAGCAGATGGGCATCTGAGTGGTCGTTCTCTACTACATAGTGAGGCACCTTGGGCAGATTGTTTGAACTCTCTAAACATGCTTTCGGGGGGGGGGTGTGTTATGAGCACTAAATACAATCGTGGCTACAAGTAATGAACACGGTGTAGAACAAGGTTTCGTGTGAAATCTGTCCCTGATTTGATAATAGTACACCCTCAGCCAACACAAATGATGTCCCGTCTATGTGCCAGGTGCTGAGGGAGTAACAGATCCATCTTCCTCCTGGACTTCAGGAAGTTTACTGTTTCATAAACCCCGCACACACCCTGCTCTAGGAGAAGCGCCAGCTGCACACCAAGGCCACTGTGTTAAGTAGCTCAGTCTTGCAGGTCATCTCTTGAGTAGCTCTCCAAACTCAGCTGCCTCTACCTCCAGTTTGCTCACAATTCTCAGTGTGCTTACCATACTGAGTGTGGGTTTTTTTTTTTTGTCTCCAATATGATCCTAGAGGATGGGGGATCATGTGTTCATTTACTCTACCCATCTGATTTGTTCCCCTCAAACTGCTCTATTCGTCTGATCATTTATGCACCTTGGTATAGCTAGTGGCCTTTGACACCAGTATACAAAGGACTCAACCCTGTCCTGAACTCCTGGGAAGTAATCTTGCCCTCCATCTTTAAAATGCTGGGCCTGATTTGATTGGCTCTATCATTTCTAACTATTGCTTTGGTTCCAGCCTCAGTTTCCCAGTCTGCTTAAGGGGGCAATAAATCTCCTTTACCAGGAAATCATGACAGTGATTTGAGACGCTACAGCTTCTAGGTGCCCAACAGTACCAGGCACAGAGTCAAATGCCAAAACCAGCTGATTCCATTCTTACTCTCAACCGGGTCCAGCCAACATAAGAAACCTAAAAATATAAAGCAGGAGTGCACATATCCTTCCAATTTATACCTTACCTCAGCTGTGTTCCAGAGGATCCGCTGAACTGGGAAGATACAACAGCTCCAGGAAAAAAACGCTGGCAAGTGCTTAGGCAAACAGTTCTGAAGAAGAGGGTAGGAATCCCTTTACTCATTACCCATATCCTCAAACCTGGGCTGCCAGAGGTGTATTTAAAACGAGAGTGGCAAGCAGGGAGGAGTCTTATAACCTGATTTTCACCATCTGTCCCAGATAACAACCACAAAAAATGCTATCTGAGTTATTCAGTATCATTCACCGGTCATTCATCGTGCTAGATGATTAACACCGCAGGCATTGCCTCATGTACTGAGAACCACATCACTAGAAGTTGGGCTGCCAAATAGGAGTTTGGGTCTCCTATTAGTTTGACCAATCAAGGATAAGTTAGTGATTTAGGAAATCACCTGCTGAGCATTCCCCTGGCCGAAGGGAAGAGGCTGAGGATGATCCAACACAAAAGCCCCTTTTGGGTGAAAAGCTGGATTGGAACCCAAGTGGAAAGATTTGCCCATCCCCAAAGCCCCATGCAATACAAGGGGACGAAAGGAGTGCAGGATGCGGGGGAGGGGTGTCCCAGGTCTGGAAAGGGGCGTCCCTGTGGCTTGTGCGCCTTCCTCGACTGGGGTGCACAGGTCAAACCTCTTCCCTCCCGCGCTCTCACCCTCCCAACCTTATTTAGAAACCGTGTCCCCGAGACAGGAAGGGCGGCGGGCCGAGAAGCACGGAGCGTCCCGGCCTCATTTCCTTTCGAATCCCCCTGTGGAATTTCATTTCGTACGGTGAGGAAATCGGAGCGCGAGCCCGTCCGCTGCTCTGCTGCTCCGGGGCGCCTCCCCCACCGGGGCTGGAGACGGGTTGCTCTCGGGTGCTGGTCGCGCCGAGCGCGGGGCGGGGCCGGGGGGCCGGGCGCCAGCCCCACTGGCTGGGGGTGAAAATTGCTGCGAACTCGCGCTGTACCAGGCACCAACTCTAAGCAATTCAGGCTTTATCGCTAATCCTCCCAAGTCACTTTACGGATGAGGAACCTGACGCCGAGAGGTTGGGCAATTTGCTCAAGGTCACACAGCGAGGATTTAAAGCCACAATCTGTGTAAATCCTAAATACCGAGTCCTTTGTGTTCATTAGTTTGCTTGATACAGAGGTGGCCGCCGGGTTGGAGTTGACAGCTGGAATGGGAAGAGCATGAAAGGGGCACAGATGTGTGAACACTTCTCACCTGAAAGAGGAGGGCAGGTTGGGGCTGGGCAGGAGCCACGGGGCTCCTAACGACGCCTGGCCCGCAGTGTGCAATGGATCCGGGTGGGAGGACGCCGAGCGCCTGGAAGCCAAGCGGGGCGGGGCGGCTCTGGAGTGAGCGAGGGAGGGAGGATCAGGCTGCGGTCCCCGGCCTGACCCTTACAGCGGGAGAGAGGCCTCGCCCCTTCCCGCCCCCTCTGCCGAAGACGACTTCTCATTGGACAACCATGTTGTCCGTCACGCCCCGCCCCCGCCCAGCGAACCTCCAGCGCCGCGGAGCGCTGGGGCGGTGAGAGCAGCGCGGCGTAGAGTGCAGGCGGGCTTCGCTGAAAAGCCGGACTCGGCCGGCGCCGGGTTCTGGGATCGCCGCCTGCAGCCATGACCCTAGCAGTCCGTCCCTCTGCCCCGGCTCCGGGTGTCTGATATCCCTCACGGTCTTGTACAGCTGCTGGAGAGGCGGCCGCTGCCCGCTCGTCGCCCTTGGCGCCTTACCCGACTCCCTATCCGGAGCTGGGAGCAGCGCGGCCACCGGCGCCCCTGTGCAAACTGGGGGTGTCTGCTGGAGCAGCCCCCGCCGCTGCTGCCCGTGGCTCTTGGCCATGGCCTGGCGGGGCACAGGGCCGAGCGTCCCGGGGGCGCCTGGAGGCGTCAGGCTGGGGCTGCTGCTACAGTTGCTCCTGTTCTTGCGGCCGGCACTCGGCTTCGGGGACGAGGAGGAGAGGCGCTGCGACCCCATCCGCATCGCCATGTGCCAGAACCTCGGATACAACGTGACCAAGATGCCCAACCTGGTGGGACACGAGCTGCAGACGGACGCCGAGCTGCAGCTGACAACTTTCACGCCGCTCATCCAGTACGGCTGCTCCAGCCAGCTGCAGGTGGGCGCCCCTACCCCCACCCCTGGAGGTATACAGGGACTCCCGAACTCCTTCCTTGGACAGATTAAGCCCTCTGCTCCCCTCCTAACTTGAGGGTACAACTCCTGGCAAAGTGATTTCCACCCCGCACCCCACCCCCCACTTTTCTGTCCCTCTTGGAGACTGGAAGCCAAAACGTTGTGTAAGTCATCTGGCCCGCGAAAGAACCCATTCTTACACCCCGCCCTTCCGTTTTTCTCCCCTGCCCTTGTCTGGCCAAGCCCCTAACCCCAGTGGAGCTGAGGGTTGTCTTGGCCAAGGATTCCGGCAGCCGCTGTTTGGTGGGCGAGTCCTGGCAGGGCAGCCAGTTGCACCTAAAACTGGGAAGGAGTGATAAGGATGCAGAACTTCGCCCTTCCAGGTCGCTCGTCGACCTCCTTTCTCCCTGTATTTTTCAGCGTAGGTTACCAAATAAAACATCGCTGCAGAATCGTTTCCTGCAGAATGCCCCCGACACAGTCACCCTGTACTCTTCAGAGGTCATACAGGAAAGCGTTGGCCTCAGTTCTTTCTTGTCCTTAGGGTTTGAGGCAGGTTTAATATTTGGAGGGACTGAAAAAGCTCCAGGAAGGTAGTTTGCATATCTGAAGACCTTCTCCCCTCTCCTTTGGGGACGGTCATTAAAATGTCAAAACTTACATATGTTGCGATGATACAGAAATTCTTCCTATAATACGTGAAAGGTAATTTGCATATACAAATGTAGTTATGATTTCGCATATCCAGTCCACTCAATCAGGAGGTGGATTGGAAGGGAGTTTTAAAAACTTAACACTGGTCATGTTTTGGTTGGTGAGGCTGAGTGACTTTAATAAAGCTAGAAAAGAGGGCAGTTGGTGAAAAATAGAAGTTAGAGTTGTCCAGACAGAAACCTCAAGGAATCTTTAGTTCTGCCTGCAGAGAGATAAGAAACAGTTTACTTACCAGCTCGTGTTTCTACATAGGTCATTTTAAAAGCGGGATTGTGGTCTGGGGAAGATGGTGGGGTTAGACCGGTGAAATATCCCTGTGGAGGTTTCAGGACTTCAAAACTAGGTTATAAAAGCTTAGGGAATGATCCTCTCCCTCTCAGTTTGGAAATAGCACATAGCTGACATCAGTGGCAATTTTGTTGGAGAAACAGCTTTTGCGGGGATATATATTTTTAATTACATGTATCCTGGGGAAGCAGCCAAGCTGTTTTGAAAGACAAGACTGGATCCCTTTACATGCTGGAAAATAGTTACTTGTAACTCTAGACTCCATAGACAACATCTGTAAGGAGCCAAGGAGACTGTTTATCAATGCTGGAGGAATTGAGGACAGCAACTGGACTCCCGCCTGCTGGTATTGCAATTGCAGGGGCTTAACGTTTACATCTTCCTATTGTGCCTCGTTATTATTCATTGACGAAATGCTAGCCAAACAACTCCCTGGAGACCAGACCCCTTAACCCATATCTCCTCCTCGAGTCTGACAGTCTCAACTTAGTAAATTTTCTGTCATAAATATGGGATTGCCTTTTGAAAATTGAAACGGAAATTAGGAAAAACAGAATGGTAACAGAATTTATATTCTCTTACACTTATTTTTAAGGTGACAGAGAAGTGAGGACAAAAGTCAAATACCCATCACCTAAGTGACCACGTCACTTTATTAGACTCTTTAGATCTTTCAGATGGTAGCTAGAAGGAGAGAGATATTGGAGTTAGTTTTTAAAAGTTTATTTTCCTAAGGTTTATGTGGGAAAGATATGGAAGCTCCATACATTTATTTATCCATTTATCTTCCTCTGAAAAGGGTTACTAGAGCCCAACTAAGGAAACTGTAAAAGTGATGGATAATAGGCACCAGTATCTCAGGCAGGCTAAACAGACATATTCCCAGCAGGCTGGCTTAGGAGTAGATATTGCCTGGAAGTGTTCACTCTGCTTTGTGCATTTTCTCAAAACCCCCCTCATTGTTTTCTTTGTTCGTGTCACTCCTTTTCCAGTTCTTCCTGTGTTCAGTTTATGTGCCAATGTGCACAGAGAAGATTAACATCCCCATTGGCCCGTGCGGTGGCATGTGTCTTTCAGTCAAGAGACGATGTGAACCAGTCCTGAAAGAGTTTGGTTTTGCCTGGCCGGATAGCCTGAACTGCAGCAAGTTCCCACCCCAGAATGACCACAACCACATGTGCATGGAAGGACCAGGCGATGAAGAGGTGCCCTTGCCTCACAAAACCCCCATCCAGCCAGGAGAAGAGTGCCACTCTGTGGGAACCAACTCTGATCAGTACATCTGGGTAAAAAGGAGCCTGAACTGTGTTCTCAAGTGTGGCTACGACGCTGGCTTGTACAGCCGCTCAGCTAAGGAGTTCACGGATATTTGGATGGCGGTGTGGGCCAGCCTGTGTTTCATCTCTACCACCTTCACTGTGTTGACCTTCCTGATCGATTCATCCAGGTTTTCTTACCCTGAGCGCCCCATCATATTTCTCAGTATGTGCTATAATATTTATAGCATTGCTTATATTGTTCGGCTGACTGTAGGCCGGGAAAGGATATCCTGTGATTTTGAAGAGGCGGCAGAACCCGTTCTCATCCAAGAAGGACTTAAGAACACAGGATGTGCAATAATTTTCTTGCTGATGTACTTTTTTGGAATGGCCAGCTCCATTTGGTGGGTTATTCTGACACTCACTTGGTTTTTGGCAGCAGGACTCAAGTGGGGTCATGAAGCCATTGAGATGCACAGCTCTTATTTCCACATTGCAGCCTGGGCTATCCCTGCAGTGAAAACCATTGTCATCTTGATTATGAGACTAGTGGATGCCGATGAACTGACGGGCCTGTGCTATGTTGGGAACCAGAACCTAGATGCCCTCACTGGCTTTGTGGTGGCTCCTCTCTTTACATATTTGGTGATCGGAACTCTGTTCATTGCCGCGGGTTTGGTGGCCTTATTCAAAATTCGGTCAAATCTTCAAAAAGATGGGACAAAGACAGACAAGTTGGAACGGTTAATGGTCAAGATCGGGGTTTTCTCAGTACTGTACACGGTTCCTGCAACCTGTGTGATTGCCTGTTACTTCTATGAAATCTCGAACTGGGCACTCTTTCGGTATTCTGCAGATGACTCTAATATGGCAGTGGAAATGTTGAAAATTTTTATGTCTTTGCTCGTGGGCATCACTTCAGGCATGTGGATTTGGTCTGCCAAAACTCTTCACACCTGGCAAAAATGTTCAAACCGATTGGTGAATTCTGGGAAGGTAAAGAGAGAGAAGAGGGGGAATGGTTGGGTGAAGCCAGGAAAAGGCAATGAAACTGTGGTGTGAGACTAGCCAGCTTCTACACTGTCCTCATTTTGAAGGAAGTTACGCAGTGGCTCTCAGTTTGAACAAACTAGAAACACTTTCGCACCCCGCTGTCAGCCCGCCACCCCTCACCCCACCCAGCATCATAAAAGCGACTTTGGAATGATCCAAAATGGAAAAGCCAGTTAGAGGCTTTCAAAGCTGTGAAAAATCAAGATGTTGATCACTTTAGCAGGTCTCAGCTTCGAGAGTAAAGGTCCTGCTTAGATTCCTGAAGTTCAGGGTGATGCTGTTTGCCCCTACTGGGTGGGATTTCAGCTGTGAGTTGATTACTTGCAGGGAAAAAGATTAATTTTTTAAAACTCTTTTAAATTTTAAATAGTAACTAGGTCTTTCAGATAGCAAAGTGATCTGTAAACACTGGAAACACTGGGGTGGGAGACGTGTTGCAGAGTTTGATAGTTTGGCTGGTCTAACATAAACATCTTCTGGCCTACACTGTCTGCTGTTTGGAACTCTGGAGCGCACTCCCAAGAGGTGGTGTCAAAATCCTTCCGTGCCTTTGTCGTAAAACAGAATTGTTTGAACAAACAAAAGTACTGTACTAACACACGTAAGGTATCCAATCTCTCTCTCTCTCTCTCTCTCTCTCTCTCTCTCTCTCTCTCTCTCTCTCTATCTCTCTATCTCTCTCTCTCTGTAATTTCAACATCCATATTCTAGGCAACCCCTGTTTTCCTCACTTTTCACTAATGACTGAAGGAAAATTATTTTTATAGGACTTTTTTGCACTGCAGCATGCCTAATGAGGGGGGAAGGAAAGGTGATTCACTTTCTGACACTTAATTCAGAGGAAAACGAGATTTACTAAGTTGACTTCCCTTACCGACCCCAGAGACCTATTGCATTAAGTAATGTTAAGCAATTGGGACTTAAAATATTTTAGTTTGTGTGATTGCATCTAGGCAGACGCCAGTCTGGAAGAACTGAAATGTTAAATTTCTTGGCAACTTTGCATTCGCACAGATTAACTGTGTAATTTGTGTGTGTGTCAATTACAATTAAAAGCAAATTCTTGGACCATGACATAGTATACTCAATTGACTTTAAAACTGTGGTCAGCTTGCATTTGTAGTGATAGTGCCTCTCGCCACCCCCCCCCCCCAGCATAAGAATGTTATCAGAGTTTGGTCTACTTACCACAATGGAGACTTATTCAACTTTGCAAAGGCAACTAAGGACAGCAGACCCGAATTCTTGGTGCATAATTGTTCCTTAGTAATTGGCAAAGGCTCCTTATAAGACTTCATTAGAGGCAGTGTGGCCTGGAGTATTTATATGGTGCCTAATGAATCTCTAGAATGCCAGCCAGAAGCTGGATTGGTTAGCAGGGGATATGGTATAGACTGTATGAAATGAGCTGCAAGGTCTAACAGCACGGGTCTTAATTGCCTTTGCTGGGGTATCCAAAGCTCTTAAAATTTATGCTTTAAGTCCCTCACGAGGGGGTACCCGCTAGCAACCTATCAAAAGTTGCAGTTCATTTAAAATTGTAACTGGCCTTTCTCTTAACCTGCCTTAGGCCTTTTAATCACCAGATCTCTGGGACAAACTGTTGTACATGTCACAGGTTGCTCTCCTCGTATTTCATACCTGTCTGCTTCAGCAACTGTAGTTATTTATTTATTGATTCATGCTTTGTCCTTTTAGTAAGCAAGATCTTTGTGTTTTGCCAATCATACTTCACGGAGAAACATTTCACAGACTAAATCCCAAAAAAGTGATCAAATTCTGGGAAATACACATTTTTTAAAATTGGGTGGGTTTTTTTTTTTGAGCTTTGTCTGTGACTTGACATTTTCTCCCTACACCCTTTGTTTTTGCAAGTTATGTAACTATCTGAGGTCAAGACGCATATATGTGTGTTCAGAAAGGAGTCCTAGGGCTTGTGGGATAGAGGCCTCCATGCACCTGGGTGGCCCCTGATGATTTACGCAGTCTAGGTACCTAGGCTGGACTAGGGCATAAGGCTCTAGGAGCATGAGAACTGATCCCTGGCAGGGCCACTTTGACTCCTGAATGAGCTGCCTATGAAATGTGAAGTGGACACGCCCTGTGCTGCTCACAGACAGTTCCCATAGCTGTCTAGGGCCCTGGGGTATGCACCCAAGGGCAGATTCTGCCCTTACTCACGCTCTGCTCTGGTGTCTTGGGAGTTGTGCAGTGACTCTGGCCCAGGGATAGGATGGAGGACCAGGCTGTAGCTGACTGCTTTGGCTGTATAGGCTTTGTAATGCAATTCTCTTTGTAATGCTTCAGTGACTTTGGGACCAAGACAGCACCCTCCAAAGGGCTGGGCCACAAGTAGGTGCTGGACATGTGTCAACAATAACCGTGACAACAGCAAGCCCTTGGGTGAACCTGACCACCTGCATTCTAAATTCTGGAGCTCGCGTACTGACAATCTTTCTGTCCCATCAGTCACTTGCTTTTTCGGGGGAAGTTATGTTTGAGTAAAGGGGGCTGTCAGTTCAGACTGGTTTTAGTAGTCTTAGCAATGTCATGGAGTTGTTGGGCCTTCCCTTTCGTATTCCAGAAGATGGAGAATGTTTCCAGTTTCCGGGAAATGAACCTGGAGACTGAGGAGTCCCTTACCAACACCCTTCAAGCAACCTAATTACTTCTTCATGCCTTTTCCACTAGCTCCTTCTCACACATCTCTTCCTGGGTTTCTCTACCTTTCCATGATTAATTAGTGACAGAAAGCAACAGCCTTGCCTCGTGACAATCTCCATACAAACTCCCTAGGACAATCAGAGTAGGTCAAGGACTGTGAGTTCCAGCATCTACTGTGGCCTTGGGCACAGGATGGTCAGGGCTTGGAATGTTCCGTGGGACTTCTGCAGGTATGTTTGAGGACAGCAGCATGCTGAGTGGAAAGCTGGGTTTGTTTCCTTTCTCTGATATCTGGAATGAGTAAGTGTGAGTGTAATTTTTCAAGAAAAAGTCCTCAAGCTTCCAAATGTTCTCTTAAGCACAGCCGAGGACTCCCCTGCCCCAACCTCTTTTTTGATAAATCCCTTTGTCTTGCTTCATAACAGCCAAACCTTAGGGCAGAGGAACGCTGTGTATGGGACAAGTGGCCAGAAGCACCTGGTGGAACTGCTGGGCTGATCTTATCTTTCTTCCTTTATGGCGACCCATTTCCTGGTTGCTGAGATGGCTTCTGAGCTGGCACAGCGCCCAGAGGCCTGAAGCCAGAGAAAGGTGATACTATTTCCTGAGACGTTCCCTTACTCTCTTCTTTCCATCACTCCCTCGCTTGTGCTCCCTAAACCCAGAACCAGAGACGTACCCTCATCAGGTTCCGAACTGTCTGGCCACATCTGACATCTCCATCCCTCTGCTCACAGAATGAAGTGTCTTTGGTATTGAGTGCCTAGTTGGGTCATAGGACACTAAGAAGGTCTTGGCATCCTCTGCCCTGGAAGAGCAGGCACAATCGAAAGAGGTTTCACCAGTGTGACATGTCTGTTTAGGTGTCCATAGCATCAGTTAGGGAGGGAAAGCACGAGGGCACAGGCTTTGGCAGGAGCTGCTTCATGTGTAAATTCCATCCTGTGACAGAGGGCAAGGGAGAGAGGTGCTGTTCCTGCCAGTCCCCAGACTTGGACAATGCTCTTTGTTCTCTTATAGTTTTTGACTTCAGTGTCCCTGTCTGAGTTTGCAGTATGTCTGGCAAAGGACCTGGTTATCATTTTCCCTCCATGCCTAGGTCAAAGATCTTGAAACTCCCGAGAGAGCATTTTGCTCCTACGAAGGATCGAATACTGAAGCCCCAAGTAATAGATTTTGTTCCGCTGGCACCCGTTATTTTATTTGTCCTGCCTCCCACCCTCACCCCAGCATACCTCTTCGCCTGATAAGCACATTTGCCCTGGTGGTAACTTCTTTTTGTTTTTCATTTGCTTTATTTTCCCTCTTTGCTGAGCCAATTCTTAGTATTCACCCAGGCAGTAGGGAGAGAGTCTTTTTGGAATCCCATATGAGCTGCGTCCTCAGAGCCTTTGTGCCTTCCTGATCTCCCACAACGTTCAGTTAATGAAAACTGCCGTCCCATTAGTCTTCCAAAAGGGGTTAAGCTTAGCTCTGTGCCACAAAAAAAAAAAAAAAGTATGTGTCCTCCCTCCCGAACTGCACACGTTTCAAAATCCTGGAAGTTTAACAGGCTGAGGCCCTGATTTGACTATGGGCATAGGGGGAACTAAGTTGCTTTCTAGAAATTTGCTAGTGGGCATCTGGGTAGTTCTGAGTTTATTGTACCTCACAAAGATGGTGTGAGGCCTTAGAAGGCCCAAGGCTGAAGGCCCCTTGTGCTCTTCATAAGAAAGATCAACTAAGTAATAGTCCCAGTCTGCAGAAAGATAGAATACACTTAGAGCTGTTCTATGGAGCAGTCTGGCTAGTTGCTCTCTGGCATTGTCTTGGATTGTCATGCCTCTCAACAGCTCTAGAAACCTGGAGGTAACCTGGGGCCATTCAAACGCTTGATATAGAGGTACCAGGCAAACCCTGCTATACATACCCTGAATAAATTGCTAATTTTCAAAGGAAATAGGCCCTCCTTTTAAGGATGTACAAAAGTGTGTCTGCATTGATGTCTGTACTGTAAATTTCTAATTTATCACTGTATTAAAAAAACTTGCTATTTAATTTTGTATTAAAGGAAAATAAAGTTTTGTTTATTAACTGGTGTGTGGTTTGGTGTGTTTTTTGAAGGTGTATGATAGTCCCCAGCCATGAGAAAGGGATGGATTAGTTTGTCTGGTAGATTGAGAAATTGCTTGTGCTATCTTTTGTCCTGTGGGATTTCTCCTGGGTTGTCAACCCCCCACAATCCAAGGACAATGCAAGCAAGTGGATCACATGATGCTTGGGATGTAGCGAAAGTTGCCAACCCAATGATGCGATCCCTCTCTTGGTATGCCCAAGAGGGGCCATCTTTCCCTTTGAAGTTCAGGCTAGTGGCCTGAAAACAGATTTCTTCTTGCTGCTGAGCTCCAAACCTCTTACACAATGGTTCTGGTTTGTGTGTATCTTATCCTTCTGGGAAAAGAAATCGTCTTGGGCTAATTTTCTAAGTTGGGTGGTCTCTGTCCCTATATCCAGAGAAGTCACTGGACAAAGCAACTATGTTAACATGTTAGCATTGGAGGTAGTTTAGTGGTGGAGTACTTGCCCAGCATGTGTGAGGCTCTGGTCTTGATACCCAGCACTTCAAAATAAAACAAGAACCATCAGGACATTATCGTCATATCCAGTAATACGGACCACACAGAGAACAGCGAGCTACTGCCAACGCTGATATCTGCTGATGTCATGGTTGAGAATGTCCCTCTTGACTTGCTTTAAATGTTTGCCACCTTTTAACTAGGCTTGAATACCACCCTGCTTGGGGGTGAATAAAAAGCTCTGTACAAGGATTTGCAATACTACTCTCCTTATCTGCAGATTTCCATTATAATTTTATCTTAAACCCAAATGAAGGGAGGCATGTAATTTAAATTCTCTTCCTTGTAAGTCAGACTGTGATTCTCATCCCATTACCTACTCATTAAGTAGTTATGAAGTTAAGGGAAAGTCAACACAATCTGGAATGAATTCATAATAATCCCTTGCACTTGTAGAAACACTTTCCAATAGAAAATATCATATGTAATTTTGTTTCATTCTCAGGGTGTTTCTGAAGTAGGGCAAGCATTGCCTGCAGAGAGAAGCCCAGACTTTCAGAGGGTGAGAGTAACACAGTAAGACAGATGGAAAGAGAGATAGTATCAACCTTGGGATTTTGTTTTTCTTCTACATAGGATTTTGCTCTTATCATGCCTGTGGGTTGTATTGCATCCTCTCGAAAAAAAATGTTGAAGACCTAATCCTGGATATCTGTGATTGTCACCTTATTTGGTAAGGGAGGCTTGGTAGATGTAATTAAATGAAAATGAATTCATATTACATTGGGGTCTCCCTTAACCCTAAAGCTATTATCCATCAAGTACTGGTACACATAGACACAGACACAAAGGGAAGTGTTACATGTTTAGGAGTTTGAAGTTCTGTAGTTATAGGCCAAGAAAGAACTATTAAAGTTTGCAAGAAGCCTCCTGAACAAGAAAATCATGAAGGATTCCTCTAGGAGCTTCCAGAAGGAACCACTGATTTCAAGTTTCTAGTTTCCATGGCTTTAGGAGAATGAACCTGTCTTTTAGGGCTTATAAAGCATAATCACTACTGTAAATAATTTTATCCATAAACTGGCCACCTCTAGAGTAAACTCCATGATCCCTGACACTCAGCCGGTTTGAAAGGAACTTGGCTGATCTCCCACCCACCTACCCCCAGTGGGAGATCTGTGTGCAGGGGCCAAGACCCTAACTGGAATGCAGGCTAAGGACTTTCGGCATTTCTGTGCTGAGAACTGAGTTTTCCCTTTCCCATTTTAGCCTTCACAGGCGATCATAATTTTAAAGTTGAGCTGACTCTTGACCAAAGAGGTCAGCCTTGGCCTCCTGTTTTGGAGGTTCTGGGCCCAGAAATAAACTGTACTGGGAGAAGGGCTCAGTCTTCTGAGTTTTCCTTCTCTGAGCAGCTGAGCTGGTAGGATTTGTAGAATCTACCTTATGTTCAGCAAAAGTGTTGGCCTTACAGAGCTTCAGCCCAAATTGCTATCACCTGAGGGTCCTAGAAAGCTCCACCCTCCTCCCTCAGACTCTCTTGTCCTAAGGTTATGACATCCATGGCTCCTTTGATCAGCAGCCCTTCATGGCAAAGGCACCCGACTTAAAGTCCCACGATGAGAAAAGATAAAATGGAATGAATTGCTTGATTTCATTGGCCTCCCACCAGGATTTCTGTCACCACTGAGAGGGAAGTTTTAAATTCTTCCTTTTAGGATTATTAGTTTGGGCTGGGGGGAAGAGAAGACAAGACAATAAAATGGGGAAAGATCATAGATTCTTCCATAGTGCCTAAAGATGACATCTACATACAAATTGAACATGAGACTCAAAAGAGGGCAAAACTGTTGAACCTTACATAGATAATACAAAGAGACAGGGGCCGGGGAGGGAAGGAGGTGGCTTGGGCCATGAGAGACAAAGGGAGAGGGACTGGAGAAGAGCCTTGGGGAGGAGGGTGTGCACTCCTGGAAGTCATCACTGCTGGCAACTGGCAGTCTCTCTGAGCCAGGTGTCACACCCAAGTCTCTTCTTCCCATAGGGGTTTCTGCTAGATGGAGGGGCGGGGGAGGGACAGCAGAAAAGGCCGTGTTTTCCTCTGGTGATTACTAACACTGACAGATTAAGTTTCTTTTTCCAAAGGTTAGCTTTCTGGAGCTGTTTCTGTTTCTGCCTCTACAGAGGCCGCAGTTTCTCCAAACAACCAGCTTGAGGCAAGTCCAAGAACAGTTGGGTACTGTGTGAGATTTTGACTCCCTCACATCCAATCCCCTTTTCACCCAAGAATGTGCTTAATCTTGTGGCTAGGCTGCCTCTCTAATGAGAGATTAAATGATTGGGTAGCCAGATTTCCTGAAAGGCCCTGAGGGTTGCATCGTCCCATTTGCTGTGAGATAAGTGGCCGGAGTGTAAACCACGTGGTGGAGTGTTAAGCCATAGAGACACACCAGACGTGGCTTTGCCATTTCCCTCTCGCCTCCTCGCCTACGCATTCGTAGCTGCATGCGTGTGTGCGTGTGTATGGGGATGGGTGTGTTTTCCCCTTGCCTGGAGTGCCCATTCCATCTTTTTCAATGAGCTTATGTGTTTCCTGTCCTGGTGATTGAATTCTTGTTTTACCTCTCCTGGGAAGGTGCCCTTGGTCTTCAGACTGGCCACTTCCTATTCTCTTTTTCTTCTCACTATGGTGAGCCTTAGTCTTTGTTTTCAAGTCTGGGAGCCTCCCCGCACCATCTGAAGTGGTGTGCACAGGCATCCATCTGCCTGCTAGATTGAGTTCCCCACAGACTCTGAGCACATGGTTTCTCTACATGCTTCTGCATCCTTGTGTTGCAGCTGGCGTAGAGCACAGGTTCCGAGTATACAGGGAGGAAGGGGGGGGGGAGAGAATAAGGAAAGGGGAAAGGAGCAGGTGGGAAAGGCAGGGGCTTGACCTGAGCCTAGCAGAAGGAAACCAAAGGTAACAAAAGCCATCGCATGGCAGGATTTCTGGAAAAAATGTTAGGACACCAGCCTCAAAATGGGGTACAGCGTACCCCATTTCGCTAGCCTCAAAAATGGGGTACAGAGTAAAGACCTACCAGACAGTGTTACTTATTCTTGGTTTCTCTTCCTTGCCATGTCTTCTTTGCCCTAGCAAATATTTGTAGAGTGTTTGCTTCATATTCAACACTGGAGTAGGCCAGGAAAAGAGAGAGGAGATGATCGAAAACAAAACAGCAAACACGGGAGACAAAGTCCAGCTTTGACTCCCCACATGCAGGTCAAAGAACAGAAAGGGAACTTAGGTCGTATGAACAAGGTTTAAACCTGGAGAAAAACACTGCCTTGTAAATACTGGTTTTACAGCAGAATGAGGGTGCACTGTGCGCCAGCCACTGTCCTGCAAAGATGCTGTGACGAGCCTGTGTCTCCCTCCACCCCTCCCTCAAATTGGGGCAACTAGTTGGTCATATCTTTGATATCATTTCTTCCTGACCCAAGCAAGCTTCGAGGCTTTGTTGGATTTAGCTTGGGTAGAGCGGCTTCCAAATACCCAGCACAATTTAACCCCCTCTCTCAGCCACTCTCTCAGTCAAGTTTCTCCTCACACAAATTTGAAGGGAGAAGGGAAAGGAAGGAAGGGGAGCAACAGAGACGGTGGCTCTAGAAGCCTGGCTCTGTTCCTGTGACCGTCTATATTCAATATGTGAAGGGTGAAATCTAAAAGCCACCCCCACATGACATCAGAGACATTTAATCATTAGACCGAGCTGGCCGCCTCCATAGGACATCTTTTCTGAATCCGTGTGGATTTGTAACATTTGTATGCAGCAGGACGTTTCTATAGGAGTCTGCTTTGTGTCCTTGGAAGCTGCTTCTGTCAACACGGCCATGTCATAATTCTAGAACCCCCAGATAGATTGTTCTGTACATGTTGAAGGAAGTACATGTCCATCTGCCCTCCTTTAATGCGAGTGAAAAGGATGAATGCGGGAATCAACTTGACCCAGTGCTGCCTGGAGGTAGGCGCGGGGCACCGTTTCAGCGTGGTTGGAGCCTGAGATTCTCAGACTGGGAGGGAACGGGAGCCGAAGCCAAGTTGTGAAAGGCCTTGGAGGTCGTATTCTCTCCTGGGTTGGAACAGGGGAGTCAGCTGGAAAGCAAGAAAGGCTCCTGGCTCCGTTGGTGGCCTTCTGGGCTTTGCTCTCCCCGCTGGCTGTGTGGAGTGTGGGCTGGAGAACGGGGGAGAGTGGATGAGAAACTGGGAAGACAGAAGGGAAGGTGTTGAGGGGCCCAAGAGATCCGGGCCAACAATTTTCACACAAAACACAATCGTGTCCTTGCAACCATGTTCAGTGAACTGGAACTTTATTTCTAAAGTGTCCTCCTGTGTCTCTGGGAGTTGTGATCTCTGTTCATCTGATATAGTGCACTGGAAATGAACAGCTACAGATGAATAGCAGACACCGTCACGGGGTCACAGCGCTGACTGGGAGGTACTGGGGCGTGGGTTTGTCTGCACTGTAAGGCACTCCTATGCAGCTGAGGGTCTGTGGCACAACGTGTGCCCGGAGAAGACACAGGCTCCTTATGGTAGAGACTAATGTTTAGTGTTTATGGCGTGCTCTGGGACCCACCAGCAACTCAGGACTCGGGAGTTTCCTGTCAAACTTACTTCCTGGAATAGTTGACACAATTTCCTATTAGAGCCTTAATTTAATAGAGCCTTAATCCCAGTCATCTCCTATCTGGATTTCCCTGCTTAACAGTTTCCTTGCCAGCAAAAGCTGAGGTGTCTGACAGTTCCTCTGAAAAAGATAGCATGGGCACACACCTTTTTCCTGGTCCTCTTCCATTTCAATGGGAAATTGTGGATAACATTTTCCACAAATGAACGAGAAACCCACTTCCCAGTTATCTTTGTTTTTGTAAAACCCCCTGCCCCCCCAATAGCAGATCTTCCTTTTGGATTTACATCAGTGTTTAGCTAACTTCCTGAACATTTCACTCATTTCCTGACCCTATTCCAAGGAAGGGAAAACATCCTCCTTCAGAAATAAATGCAAATAATCACAGAGATTATTTCTATTAAATAAATAGTGTAAATGCAATGGAATTTCCTGTAAGAGGTAAATTTACCACGGATAATTCAACAAAATCTATTTTGCCATGGTGTAGTAGGTCCCATTATATCTGTGGGTAATCTGAGGAATTATAACCATTTTGTCAGTTAAGTATGTTTTGGAGAGGTAGGTTACACACAATTGCAGTATTTCCTCTTGCTGATTTTTTTTTTCCTCTGAGAAATCTGAACACTAGGAAAATCGTTATCTTTAGATCAGTAATTTTGAAGTGCTTGTTTTTTTAAATAGTAGTCTTCTGCCACCTACTGGTCAAGAGCAGTAGAACAACTTCAGGACAGAATAGGGATTAAAACCCAGTCTCCCAGAAATAAGAAATTTAGTTTGCTTGTTTATGCCTTTTTTTTTTAAATAAACACAATCCTTGAAAGCACTTCTAAGTACCCCTAAAACCCAAGAATGCTGAAGCGAGGTGACAACAAACCTTTCCCCTATGCATTTCCTGTCATTCTCTACCCTCTTGATTGATGCTTCCTCCTCAGAGTCAGTTTGCCTTGTAAGCATTATCTGAGTGCATTTTAAGAGTGGATGAAAAATGTCAAGCTCTTAGAAGGAGATGCAGTGAGAGAGCAGTTTGAGAAGGCCTCTTCCTGTTCAGCTGTCTATTAGTAGAGAGGAGGGATCATTTTCTGCTGAAGCCATCTCGTGGATATCTTCAGGATGAAGTTTAGGTCTGCACGGCGGCAGCTGCCATTTTGAACTGCCTTGCCTGGTAAGTGTCAGAATTTTTTGAGGGAAAGGTGATAGGGATCTCAAAGATGATGTCCTTCACTTACCTCCAGCCTGTCCCAGTCCTGATAGAACGCTGTCTAGGACAAGTGGATGTCTGACCTCCTTGTTCCTTGCCCACAAAAGTATCTATTAGTGTATCACAAGAGGTAACATTCTCCCTAAAGTCCAGCCCCTTGGTGTGATGTCCAAAGTCTGAAGTCTGTCTGTTCTTCTATCTGTCCACTTTTCCATTCCCGTGACCTCTTGTGATCCAACCAGCTCCAACTGCTTCCAGTTCTGCACCACCCAGTAACACACACACACACACACACACACACACACACACACACACACACACGCACACGCACACGCACACACACACACACACACACACACACACGCACACGCACACTTTGACTCTGCTCACACTGATTTCCCGTCACCTCTATTCAACTCATCCTTCAAATTTCTGTGTTCTGTCCTAGGAAACTTTCCATGGTCTGACCCAGAATTGCGGATGACACCCTCCTCGGCATCCGCTTGTGTCATATTACTTTATACTGTTTCTGTGTGTTTGCCTCCCTACGCATCTGTGTGTCTCGTGGACAGGAGCCACTCATCAGCCGACACACTGGCTTGTCTAAAAGCTCCACAGACGCTCACTGATGTTCAAGTAGCTTGTGTTTGTGCAGTAGATTGTTCCACTTGTCCATAGCGTTTCAAGGGGAGAAAATTACTGTGGAACAAATGCTTCAGTGATGGACCTGGGAGTTAGATGTCCACATCTCCCAAAACGTTTATCCCAAATGACCTCAGCCTTTACCCACTGAGGACTAAACTCTAAGTTTCTAACTAGTTTTAATATGGCCACATCCCATAGTTAGGGAACCCACCATCTAACCCAGGCTTTATTAAGATCTGGAGACATTTAAAGAATTCTCTAATTATTTACAAAACTGCTTCCCATGCACACTTGCCTTTGTTTCTAGTAAGATGTCTGTATCTTTCATAGACAAGGCTGTGATGTTGGAAGACTAAACACCAATGATCAGCAATCCAAACTAGGGGCCAGGGAGATGGCTCAGTGGTTAAGAACACTAGCTACTCTTCCAGGGGACCCGAGTTCAATTCCTAGCACCTACATGGCAGCTCAAAAACTGTCTGTAACTCTAATTCCACGGAATCTGACATCCTCCCACAGACATAAATTCAGGCAACACCAGTGCACATACCATAAAAGGAAAATTAAAAGAATCAATCTGAAATAAACATCTGTGTTGGGGAAGTCTTATGTCAATAAAGCACTGTTGAGCCAATAGGAATCTGGATAGGTGGGACAAGGAGTCCAGGAGGACTCTGGGAAGGAGAAACACAGGAGAGTCAACATGTAACCGCCATGGGGTAGGAAGCCCGGAACTATTCTCTGATAAGAGAAATACTTAGATTAACAATTATGGGGTAATTACTTAATTCAGAGCTAGCCAGTAAGAAACAAGCAAAGGCCAACAGCTTCATAATTAATATAGCCTCCTGTGTGTTTATTTGGGACTGATGCGGATCTAGAACCAGGAGTGTGGGAAGGCTTCTCAAAGGAAAAAGCTTCTCTTTACACATCTGCATTTGATCTTTTCTGAGTCTATGGATGCTACTCTCCTCTTTCATGCTTCAGTAGAGAGGTTTAGAGTCTAAAGAATTCCTTTCATTGCCCTTTGTTGGGGTATTCCTTCAGGTCCTAGTCTGTTGTTTTAAAAGATTTTGATTTTGGCCATGAACTGTATTACTCATCAGGAGGTTCTCAAAGTAAAGATAATAGCATGGTTTGGATTTGTTTTTTTAACCTTGATTTTTATTTTGTTTGTATGGCTGTTTTGCCTGTAGTATGTATGTGTACCAGGTGCATGTAGTGCCCCCATAGACCAGAAGAGGGTGCCACATTTCCTGGAACTGCAGTTAAGGATAGTTGTGAGCCACTGTGTTGGTAATGAGAATCCAACCTGGGTCCTATGGAAGTACAACCAGGACTTTTAACCATCTGTCTAGCCCCACGATGTGAACTCTTACCAGCTCAAGATTTTGCAGAATGTCCCTTTGCTGGAAATATTACTGTTCCTTAATTAAACAAATGGGAGCATGCTGGAAAAGTCTCGTACAGAGCCGGTAAGTCCCACTCAGGCAATACACACATCAGAAACACTCATGTGAAACTGATGACTGAAAAATCCTGCCACTGTCATCTAGGACTACACTGCTCTGATGCTTCTCCTATCTGGCAGTAGGCACTGTTTATAAAGTCACGGTGGGTGGCTGGCGGATCTGGCTTCATGGGTGAATGACCCAGACAGTCATTCAGGACTTCACTTTCTTGGCCATCTTGTCAGCCCGCAGTCTAATATTTTTATTTTATACCTGGTCTTGCAAATTATGTTGCTGACCCTTAGTGGTTGCATATACCTGACGCAGCCACATGTAGTAGAATAAGCATGGGCTTAGACATTAAAAATTGGGGGTTCGAATACTGGTTCTACAACTTCATAGCTGTGTGAACTTGGATAGGTTTAACTCTCTAAGCCTTACTGTTCCTATATCGGGTATAGTTATTTGGTTATTATATTATCTGACTTGTATAGTTGCCATGGCAATCAAACAGTATTTGATACAGGAACTGCTAGTGACTGAGAATGACAAAAGTGCTTTGAAAACACGTAAGTAATCAACAGAATACATTAGGACAAAAAGCAAATCAAACGAAAACAAACACACTAAAAAGTCAGATATGTCAGTTTTTAGGGCTGTTAAGATCCCTAAAAATAAGATGCTAGCCAGAGTGATTTATGTTTTAGGGAGTGTCTTCATTCTTGTTTGCTAACAACTGGGACAATCTGAGTTTGATCCCTGGGACCCACCTGGTAGAAGGAGAAAACTGACTCCCCCAAAGTTGTCCTCTGACCTCCAAGTGTGCTCTTTGGCATGTAGTACACACATGTGCATCCATACCTACCCACATACTGTCTCTGTCTCTCTCTTTCACTCTCTCTCAAACACACACAATAAATAAATGAAATAAAATTTTCAGATAAGTATTTTCCCTTGTGATATATCCTTTCTTCTGTTTCACTTTGGAAGCCTCTGAGGTAAGACACTGTATCTATTATAAGATCTGTCACAAAGTA